AGAGAAATTTCAACAACCAGAGAAATTTGAAGGAAACTAAATTGCAAGGTATCTCGGAGGAGAATGAGGGGCTGCATATGAAGCTTGAGAAGAGCTTACCAAGCCAGAGAGAATATGAACTGGAAAAGGAACTGAAGAAATCAAAAGACAACATTGAACATTTGAAGGCGAATTTGATGGATAAGGAAACGGAATTGCAAAATATATCAGAGGAAAATGAGATGTTGAAGTCGGAAATGAAGGGAAGAGAAATGGGGAAAGTGAACGCTGAGGTTGTTGCTGAAATAGAGGCAGCAAGGGCTGCAGAGCAGGAAGCGAATATGAAGCTTGGATATATGACAGAGGAAGCAGATAAGAATAATAGGAGGGCTGTGAGGGTGGCTGAGCAGTTGGAGGCAGTCCAGGCGGCCAGTTGTGAAATGGAGGCAGAGTTAAGGAGGCTAAAAGTGCAATCTGACCAGTGGAGGAAGGCTGCAGAGGCAGCTGCAGCAATGCTTTCAACAGGTAACAATGGGAAGTTTATGGAAAGAACAGGATCATTGGACAGCAGCTACAATCCTGCAACGGGGAAGATTGGTTCCCCTGATTCTGACGACGTTGTTGATGATTTTATGAAGAAGAAAAATGGGAATGTGCTGAGGAAGATTGGGGTTTTGTGGAAGAAGCCGCAGAAATAGAATCATGAGAAAGGTTAATGTACTTTTTGGTTCCTGATTTTTTTATTTTACGTTCTTTTGTTTGGCGGAAAACAACTTTATTTTTTGGCATCTGGTATGACAGAAAACATTGTGTGCTCAACGGGGAAAAGAAAAGAAGAGAAGCCTATTTGGATGAAAAATGCTTTTACTTTTTAAAGGTGGAAAATGCTTTCTGCATTAAATTCTTACCAATGATGCCACCATAGTACCACGGCTACTATCCCCTCTATCTTTACATTGCTTAATTTTATTTTAGGTATTTAAAAATGAAATCATATTTCAATTTGTTTTGGAATTGCAAGTACAAGTTTTGTGTATCCTTTGCTCCCCCTAGAATTTCGTGCCTTTGGTTTGGATATTGGATAAATTTCTAATTTTTTGTCGTTCTTTTTTCTAGCTCCAGAAGAAGCGTCCAAACAGAATTTCTGTATTGGAATCTCAGATTTCCCAACTTCAGGGAGATCTGAAGAAGGTGAAAGACGAGCTAAGTTCTTCAGAGTCATGGAAAACGAGAGCTCAGCAAGACGCAGAGGACTCAAAAAAGCAGCTATTAGCCATGTCTTCAAAGCTCAATGAGTCTCAGAAGCGACTTTTGGAGCTATCTTCTTCTGAGGAAACCCGTGTCATTGAGCTCCAAAAGATCTCTGAAGATCGTGATCGGGAATACAAATCTGAACTTGAGGCCATCCAGAATCAGCACTTGGTTGAATCAGCTGCATTAGCCTCGGCTGTGAATGAGATTCAGCAGCTAAAAGCCCAGCTTGAAATGGTAGCTGAATCTGAGGCTGCACAAACGAAGAATGTACAATCAGCCAATGCAGAGCTACTGAGCGTGAAAGAAAACCTAGCAGAAACACTTTCTCTTGTGGAGGACATGAAAAACCAGTTGAGGGATTCCAAAGAATCGGAAGCTCAGGCCCAAGAGCTTGTTGGTGGGACTTTGTTGCAACTTGAAACTGCCAAAAAAACTGTTGAGACCCTCAGGTTGGATGGTACTAAAGCCAAGGAAGCTTATGAATCCATAGCTTTGGAGTTGGATCAATCGAGGGCATGTGTGAAATCACTAGAAGGGTTTGTTTCCAAACTTAAGGCGGACATCATTAACAATGGAAGCAATAGTTCAAAAAATCTCGGTGCTGATTACAAGCTAGAATGTGATATCAATGGAAATATTTGCAAATCAATGCGGCTTGAAACAGAGCTTAGTTCTGCTAAGGCTGAGCAAGGACTGTTAAGAACTGCACTAGAAACTGCTGAGATCAGATTCCAAGAAGAACATATTCGAAACACACTACAGATTGCTTGGTATAATGCTTGTACAATTTATCATGTAATGTTTTTTTTATAGAGAAAAAAATTCACTTGGCAAAATGAGAGTTTTTTGATGGAGAAAAAAAAAATCCACTTAAAACGAAAAAGTAGATTTCAGGAGGCCACTATTGAAAATTGATTTATTTATAATAATGACATTACCATATCATTCTTGTCAAGTTTTTTTTTGTATGATGAATTTTATATATGTTTATAATTTTTCTTAATTATATATATTTATAATGTCTTTAAATTATGATATTAATCAAAAAATTGTAACGTAATAATTAAAACTCCTCACCATTGCCATTCTACCTTAATGTCTTTCACTATATATGTGTTTTATCTATTTATGTAGTGTTTCGACCCATTAGTGACTGTGTTTGTGTCTAGAGAGAGAGATGAGTATTACTTAAGAATTTACAAATAAAAAAAAAAAAATTGTATATATATATATATATATATAGTGTAGATAATGTGTTATTATGTAATCATTGTCAATGCCTTAGGCCACTATAGAGGGTTAACTAGAAATGTAGGAAAACTACACATAGCCATTGGAGTCTTCGCCAATGGTTTGCTTCATATTTAGTGGTTTCATATTTCTTTATATTGTGAGTTTGCAATAAATTTTATAATTTCCTCTCTTACCTTTAGTAGATTTTATATATATATATATATATATTTTTTTTCCTTACCAATTCAGTAGAGCTCTTTGAGAACTTTGTATCATTACCCGCTTTGGATGATGCCATTTACTTTTACAGACCATTTATATAGATTTTTGGATGGCCAAAACTCTCGTGTTGTTGGAGAATATAGGCAGAGGCATCATATTCCCCCTCTATCCCTCACATTTAACAATGTTAGGGGCTACCAAAATTTTCTCCAAAATAAAAATATTTAGACAAAGAATCGTATGATTGACATTTATACAAAAATTAAATGTAGATTATAAATTAAATTTTTTAAATAAATTTATGATAATTTTTTTAAATTATTAACTTTTTTTATTCTCACCAAAAAAAATATTTATTTATTTATTTTTTTTTGAGCATTTGCGTATGAATCCCCAACACAGTAAAACATAACATGTGGGTTGATGTTTTGAAACCAAGGAGGCGGCGTGGGGTTGTCTCATAATTTGCACTCACATTCAATTATTCATTCTTGGTTGGTTCAAAACATGGAGTAAGGATGATTTTTTTCTAAAGTTTCTTAGAGTGTTATATTGTGTGGTTGAGATTTATTGGCAAGTCACATCAATTTTTCTGATGTGACTTGCCAGTAAATCACACAATGTAGCACTTTAGGAAACTTTAGAGAAATTTCACTCTAGAGAATCCTTGGTGCAAAAGATGTCAGATTTTGTGCTGTCCATTCACAATAAAAATTACAAATAACAAAATTATAAATTAATTTTTTTTATGTGAATTTCATTATATGATTTTATAATTTATGTTATGTTACGAAATTACCTCCCCATAAATAACATTGGGAAAAATCTATAAAAAAAAGTAAAATTAATTAATTTTATCTAGCAACTTCAATAATAGTTTGATTTGATTTACTGTATTTGTACTAGTGTCATTTATTAATTAAAGGTATTGTTAATGGTAACACATAAAAAATTAATTAAGTTTCAAATAATATTAAATAAATTAAAATTTTAAAGTACCCTTTAATATTAAGATTCCCCATTAATTAATTACCCTTGTTTTGTTGGGTAGTAAGAGCGAGCCTTGGAGGAGAGGGCGGACGAGGAAATTGCAAGGAAAGAGCAAAGCTTTTTCCCCACTCAAAGTTTGTCTGGGCCAGGAAGAATCATCATTCCGATTTGTTTGCACACTATGGGTAAGTTTAGGGGTGTACATAATACCGTTGAAATTGTCGAAACCGTCAAAATCGCACCGAATTATACCGTTGAAACAAATTCGTTATTATTTGTTAATCGAACCGTCGATTTTTTACAAGAAAAATGACAAATTCTAGTGACACTTTTATCAATCCGTCGGTTTCTATTTTTCTTCCAAACCGCACTGACCCGCACTGCTATTACATCATATTTTATAAAATTCTAAAAATTCTTTTTTACTTAAGTTTGCTTGTTGTTCTATATCTTAGAATATAGTATTATATTACTGCTCGAGGGGAATTTTATGTATTGTATTTGATCATTGTAGTTTCACAGATGCTTATAATGAACTGATGGCATAGTCGTTGATATTATCATGTTGTTGCTACACTTGCTGCATTAGAAAAAAACTTCGCAAGATGCTTAACATCACAGTATCTCTCGTCTTTTTTTTACTCTTTGATTTAAGTTTTGTAATTTGAATTATATTTTTTATAAACCGCCAATCCGTCTGAACTGCCAAGGCAAATCTGCCATTATTTGCCAACTGAACCGCCGGTTTTTGATAAGAAAAATGGCAAATTCTAGTGACACTTTTATCAATCCACCACTCGCCATACGGTTTTTATTTTTCTCTCAAACTGCACCGACCCGCACCACGCACACCCCTAGGTAAGTTTGACAACATGAAATAGTCGGTCTCGTTCGGAAATGTATTATTTTAATATTTTTAAAAAATTTTATAAAAAAACATACATAAAAGAATGGTCGAAGGTCCCTTTCTAAGTTTTGATAGGAGGAGAGGTATACAATAATATATTTTGATGGTTAAGGTCCCTCAACTTTATTTTATGTTATAAAATACCTAATTTACCCCTTCTTTATAACATAAGATTGTTTAGATTTTGGCAAACTGAATATTCTATTGCTTACTTCACGGTGGAGATTTTAGAAACTAATTTCGCGGTGGAGATTTTGTCGGAGATTTCGTAGGGATTTCGCAAGTGTTGCAGTGGACTTGACGATAGAGATTACGACGATCGTGTAGGCATTACAGTGTGTTGATCGCGTAGGTTTTTCAGTGGAGTTGAATCAGGGATGGTTTCGATAGAGATTCCACATGAATTTTGATTTTTGTTTTGAATTTTATGTAGGGATTCCGATTTCATATTAGTTTTTCGAGTGTATTTTTGCATTAGGTTTTTATTTTCAGTTTGATTAATTTAAAAGAGAGGCCAACTCAGTGAAGCTGTTTATGATTTTCAGAGTTGATTTTTCATTTTCTGTTATTGATCAATTTTAGACAGAGGCCAGCTTGATAGAGTTGATTTTTATTTTTGGAATTAATTTTTCATTCTCTGGTTTTTGATCAATTTCAAATAGTGTTGACAATGTAATTGATTTTGATGTTTAGAGTTCATTTTCCGTGCTCTATTTTTCATCAACATGCTGATCAATGATAAGTTTTGTTCTCTATTTTTTCAAACCAGAGAAATTTGTTTAAACTAGAGAAATTTCATTTTCTGCACTTTTGTTGGTATAGTCTAAAGAAAATTGTAAGTTTATTATTATAATCCAACGAAAATAACAGAAAAAATTATAAGTTCATATGGACATATTATTAGAAATTTCTAATGCAGATAGAATCTGAAAAGTGAATGTAAATTCTTAAATTTCTCTGGACTTTTATTTGTAGTTGAGAGAAAATTATAAATTTGTTATTCACTTTCAGTTTGTAGTTCAGAGAAAATTATAAATTTATAGAAAATGAATATAAGTTTTTGTTTCTCTAAGTAAAAGTTATTTTTTGTGTTTTTTCTTTTAGTTTAGATGGGCAGTGTAATGTTTTTTTTGTTATCTTGAAGGTGTATATGAGTTTGTAAATTTCTCTAGATTTTGATATGAGTGTAATATTGCAGAATGACGCAGAGAAAATTGTAAGCGGGTGCTTCATTGAAAATCACAGAGAAGTTTATAATTTTATAACAGATCTTCTGTGTGATTTTTGTCTATGATTTTATTTAATAGTTAGCAGTAAATTTATCTGTGATTCTCTCTGGATTCATTAATTTTTCTGTGATTTTATTTTTGTTATTTTGAAGGTGAATATATGTTTGTAAATGTCTCTAGACTTTTATTTGAGTCCAGAGAAAATTATAAGCTTGTTATTATAATCCAGAGAAAATTATAATTATTAAAAATTTCTTTGAACTTTTATGTTGTTCTTGTGAAGTGTTTTTATGTTGAACAAATTATTTTTCTTTTTTTTTTCTTTCAGTTTCGATGGATAGCGCAGTGTTGTTGCTGTGCAAATATGGGAATGATACTATTGTCATTAATGTTTCATGCGAATTGAATTTTGAGGAATTGGTTGGCATTTTGTGTAAAACATGGGAGAATTTGAAACTTGAGACAATGTATATTTCATATTCTATTGTGGGCCATCCGAATTGTATGGTTCGAAATGATATTGATTCCTGAATATGTTGAGGGTTGTTTGTGTACATGGTGTTGATATAGTTGATGTTTTGGTTACTACGTGTAGTACTTTTGATCAAGAGGATGAAATAGGGTCTAATTAGGTAGATTTGTGCATGGTGAATGTGATAGACTGGTAGCTATTGAAAGGAATTCACTCTCTAAGTTTTGTTCTCACCAAGAAAATGTGTTATTGTCAGCTGGTTGGCGAAATATTATTACGAGTGTTGGACAAAAGTTTGAGGGTGGTGTGGTTGAGTTCCGTATTGTTTTATGCAAGTATGCTATTGAGGTTGGCTTTCAGTTCACGTATGTTAAAAATGACAAGCTAAGGGTTACGGCAGAATGTGTATATAAGGAATCAAGAGGATATATGTGCCGTGTACATGCTTCAGTTGAAAAAACAAATGGGTTCTTTTATATAAGAACTTTGAACAATGAACATACGTGTGGTGTGGCGGTTCATACTAGTAAACATGCTAAGATGACTTCTAGCTTAGTTTCTGGGCTGATATTTGAAAAGGTAAGTGCAAAACCTTTAACTCGTCTAGTGGATGTTGTCCAAGAAATGAAAGACAAGTATAGGGTCTCAATCAGTTATAACTGTGATTGGTTGGGGTTGAAAAAGCAAAATGTAATACATATGGGGATTCTTGTTTGTCATTCAATCAATTACGATGGTATTTTAATGAGACATTGAAAAACAATCTAGGTAGTCGTTTTGAGTTAGATTTTGACGATAACAAGCGTTTCAAAAAAGTGTTTGTGGCTTTTCATGCATGCATTGCTAGTTTCAAATATTGTCGGTCATTGTTGTTTCTTGATGGAACATTTTTTAAAGAACGATACAAAGGAGTTATGCTTGCTACGATGGGGAAATATGGGAATGAAGGTAATTGTAAATATATTTTATTTTATCTAAGTATGTGAATTTTCTATACATGTAGGAATTGAGTGAATGTGATTTTTCTCTGACACTTTGAATTTTCTCTAGTTGTGGTTAGTGTGAATTTTCTCTAGATTTTGGTCAGTATGTGAATTTTCTCTAGATGTTGTCATTGTATGAATTTTATCTATAGTTGGTCACTAAGTAAATTTTCTCTGGATGTTGCCAATGTATGAATTTTATTTGTAGTTGGTCACTATTAAATTTTCTCTGGAGTTTGTCACTAAGTGAATTTTCTCTGGAGGTTGCCATTGTGTGAATTTTCTCTGGAGGTTGCCATTGTGTGAATTTTCTCTGGATGTTGGCAGTGTCAAATTTCTCTGATTGTTTATTGTTCTAATTTTCTCTGCATGTGTATATCTAATATGCTAGTTCCTATTTGTTTTGTAGGTTTTTTTCCTATAGCTTTTGTTGTTGTTGGTGTTGAGAATAAAGACAATTGGTGTTGGTTCCTTGAACATTTATGTGAAGTATTGGGATTAGAGAGGGTGATAAGTTTCATATCAGATCGACATTGTGGTATTGTGGAAGGAATTGCGAGGTTTTTCCCTAATTGCTTTCATAGATTTTGTCTTGAACATCTAAAGAGAAATTTGAGGGATAAGTTGTCATGTGGAAACACAAATTTGGTTAAGGAGATGATTGTGTCCAAGTTTTCAGAATGTGCATATGCGCCAACAAAGGCATCATTTTATTTCAAGTTAAATGAATTAAAAAGTGAGGAAGGAGACATTGTAAGTGTTTTTTTGAGAAGTTTACCATATGAAAATTGGAGTGATGCATATTTTGAGGGGAAACGTTGTGGTGAGATGTATTCAAATGTTGCTGAGTCATTCAATTTATAGATACGAAATGCTCGACACTTACCAATAACAAATTTGGTGGACATGATACGATTGCAAATCATGAATATGAGGTCTGATAGGAGGCTGCTCTCTAGTAAATGGAATAAAGTTTTCTGTCCTCGTATGGATAGTATATTGGAGAAGGCTTTCTTGGATGGGAGGACATGGAATGTGAGTTTATCATCTGATAATGTCTTTGAAGTGCATTGTTTTCCTTTGGTTATGGTTGATCTTGGGTTGAGAACTTGTTCATGTCGAAAATGGGAAATAAATGGATATCCATGTCAACATGCTGTTGCTGTAATTTTTAGGAATGGAAAGAATTTGAATTCATTCGTTGAACCATTTTTTCATGTTGATATGTATCGTCAAGCATACTCGTTTTCAATTGGCCCAATTCCAACTGTTGAAAAACCTATGTGTAGCATTGATGATGCTATGATTTTACCTCCATTGAGTAAGATACCAGCTAGAAGGCCAAAAAAAGAACAGAATTGCTTTTACTGAAGAGTTTAAAAGGGTAATTAAGTGTAGTCGTTGTGAGAGTATTGGTCGCCATAATAAGAGGACATGCAAGGAACCTTTGTTAAATAGTTAAGGATAATACATTTCATTGATTGAATAATACATTTGATGATTACTTTGTGCATTTTATTTTGTGAAATGTATTTTTTGCACAGTGTATATAATAACACCTATCAAATTCATCAATAGAAATTTTCCAATTACAGTGAAAGTGTGCATTGTATTTGTTGATACATACTATAGACAGTGTGTTTATAATACCAGTCAAATTCATCCAGAAAAATTTGTCTATGGCAGAGAAAATTCTTTGTGCATTGTGTTTTGAAGTTTCAAATTCATCGAAAGAAATTTTCCAATAGCAGAGAAAATTACTGTGTGCATTGTGTTTTTAAAATTTGATGATTCTTTTATACCAACACAGTACATTACAGATTGTATGATCATATAGGCACCTTCTTTGGAACGATACGAGTTAAATTTCTTTGTGAATTTCTGATAATTTCATACCAGTCAAATTTATCCATAGAAATTTGCTAATAAAAGAGAAATTTACTATGGGCATTGTGTTTGTTGAAATGAGCATTGTGTTTTGTGAGGTCCAATTCATCCAGAGAAATTTGCCAATAGCATTGAAAATTACAATGGGATATCCATGACAACATGCTGTTGCTGTAATTTTTAGGAATGGAAAGAATTTGAATTCATTTGTTGAACCATTTTTTCATGCTGATATGTATCGTCAAGCATACTCATTTTCAATTGGCCCAGTTCCAACTGTTGAAAAACCTATGTATAGCATTGATGATGCTATGATTTTATCTCCATTGAGTAAGATACCAGCTAGAAGGCCAAAAAAAGAACAGAATTGCTTTTACTAAAGAGTTTAAAAGGGTAATTAAGTGTAGTCGTTGTGAGAGTATTGGTCGCCATAATAAGAGGACATGCAAGGAACCTTTGTTAAATAGTTGAGGATAATACATTTCATTGATTGAATAATACATTTGATGATTACTTTATGCATTTTATTTTGTGAAATGTATTTTTTGCACAGTGTATATAATAACACCTATCAAATTCATCAATAGAAATTTTCCAATTACAGTGAAAGTGTGCATTGTATTTGTTGATACATACTATAGACAGTGTGTTTATAATACCAGTCAAATTCATCCAAAGAAATTTGTCTATAGCAGAGAAAATTCTTTGTGCATTGTGTTTTGAAGCTTCAAATTCATTCAGAAAAATTTGCCAATAGCAGAGAAAATTACTGTGTGCATTGTGTTTTTTGAATTTGATGATTGTTTTGTACCAACACAATGTATTACAGATTGCATGATCATATAGGCACCCTCTTTGGGACGATACGAGTTAAATTTCTCTGTGAATTTCTGGTGACTTCATACCAGTCAAATTCATCCATAGAAATTTGCTAATAGAAGAGAAATTTACCATGAGCATTGTGTTTGTTGAAATGAGCATTGTGTTTTGTGAGGTCTAATTCATCAAGAGAAATTTGCCAATAGCATTGAAAATTACAATGTGCATTGTGTTTGTTGAAACATATTATGGGCATTGTCTTTATAATACCAGTCAATTTCATCCAAACAAATTTGCCATTAGCAGAGAAAATTATCTGTGCATTGTGTTTTGAAGTTTCGAATTCATCTAGTGAAATTTGCCAATAGTAGAGAAAATTATTGTTTGCTTTGTGTTTTTTGAATTTGATGATTGTTTTGTACCAACACATAGTATTATAGATTACATGATCATATAGGTATCATACCAGATAAATTTTTGCTATTGGCAAAATACAAGTTAAATTTCTCTGTGAATTTTTAGTAACATCATACCAGAGAAATTTCTGCAAATAATTTTTTCTGTGTGGATTGTATTGACAATCATAATAAAAAAATATATATATTTAACCACTGATAACTATGAAATTTACATTAGTCAAAAAAAGATATATACATATATGTCAAACATCATCATTCTTTCAATGTATGAAAAAACAAATTAAATGGTTAATCCTAATTACATTGTGTATATTGTCTTCCTTTCACTAATGTGCTTTCACTATTATACTTTTGGTTCTTTTTCTGGTGGTATTTGAATTGGTTCTGTCCATGACTGGCCAACTTCGGTCACAAATCTCTCTATGATTTCTACCCTCATCAACCTTACGTCTTGTGTGGACAATTTGGAGCTAATAGGTTCATGGTTGTTATATTGTCTCATTATGTAGCATACAAAGACGTTACAATTTAGGCTGCATACAAATTATAAGTATAGTTAGTTTTAAAAAATATTCAAATTATATTATCTTATTTATAGATGTTGTATGAAACTTATGAATCACTGTCTTCTTGTGGAGTATTGTTGACCTATTCAAAGTCGTAATTTGTGTTTTGTGAGTCCATTAATTTGAAAGAGGGTTGTGATTGTGCCTCTCTTTCAAGGCAAACTTTCAAAAAATTCTCCACATAATCTTGCTGCAAAAAAATAATTTTTAAATAACAGAGAAATTTATAGACAAATCAATGGGATTCTATGAAAATTATCATCACATAAATATTATGATACATCAAAGAAATTTGAACTCGTTACCAATTATTTTGCATCTTTGATATATTTGTCTTGTGCATCATCCCTCCTTGGTCTTAGTGAGTTGTAGAACCTCCATAAATTGTCTTGTTTGTCAAAGACTAGCAAGGTCCAGTGATTTCCATTTGTTGGCTTCTCATTACCCCCAGTATTTATTGGGAAATGGAAAAACCTGTAATTTCTTCATGCTGTTTCAAGATGCTTGTCAAATAATGAGACTCGGAAAGTTTGATTTTCCGTTATCTTGATGAAGTTCTGCGGTCAGAGAAAATCAAAAAATGGTTATGTTATGAGAAAGTTGAAATGACAGGAATTTAAGAAATATACACACAGAGAGATTTTAAATGCACACAATTAGCCAGAGAAAATTAGACCAGGGACACAACTGGCTTCAAGAAGTATCTTAACAAGAGAAAGTAATAAATAAATTCCACAGAAAATCAAATAAAAGTGCACTAACATACTAAGCTCATGGATGTGAAAAAATATGAAGTTGGTTGTTGTCGTTTTCTCCTTTGGTCAGCAAATAGGATCTCTCCATAGCCATCAATGACCTGAAAAATATCATTTATAATTGTAACATTGGTTTATAAAGGCTGATGGAACATTGCAGAGAAATTTTGATGAAAGACTTACATTGTTGGCAATTTGTTTTTGCTTTATTAGGTTTCCAATATCTTCAAAGGTAATGAGATTCAACTCACTTGTCCAAATTAAAACCCTACAAGATGACAAAGAAGGGATTTAATAATTGTTAATGCAATATAAGCTAATAAATTGTTATTTGTTATCTTCTTTTTTATTTGTTGTACTTACTCGAGTCCAGACACATTTGATATGTGTTGCAAGATATCTTTTACATATTCTTTTATCAATCTTGAAACCGGTAGAGTTTGTGAAAAAATCCAAGATTTTTTGATGTTTGTTGGTAGAGGCAAGTCGTACGCATCAGTATCAAGTACTTCTTTGTCTTTGGTGGTTTGCTTTGTTTTCTTTGCAGCTTGCTTTAAAGCTCTAGTCACCTTTGCAACTTTGGGATATTGAAATTCTGGATCTTGCTGCTTTTCTTTCCTTTCTTTTGCCTTTAAATTCTTTATCATTGATGTAGGATTTTTTTTCACTATAGACAGTGAAAATATCAGTAAAAGTGAAATTTCTCTGAAGTAAGAGATGATATTTCAATATGTAAATTTATTTGATTCAATATTTTCCAGTTACCATAGACTAGACTTTTGTCTTTTGTTTTTTGTTTTGGTTATTCTTTGTGTGCCACTTGTTTTTGCTGGGTTGTTGGTTGTTGTTCTACCTCTATTCCAACTACACACAATGAAAATCAAACAAGCCTCAAAAATCAAATTAGCAAATAGACAAAGAAAATCAAATAAGCAGTAGAAATCAATAGAAATAAGCAGCAAAAACTAATGTGGTCAGAGAAATTGAACTTCTAGAGAAAATTATAATAAAGAGAAATTTCTCTGAGTTATGTTGACACAAGGACATAACTTTTTGTGGCTCAAGATTTTCACTGACTTTGTGGTTGAACTTGTGTTGGTGTTCGGTAAGGTTGTGTTGCTAGTTAGACAGATAGTTTTTGAATTTGTTCATGCAATCTAGTATATTCAGTTTCAAGCTCTGAAATTGAATACCTCAACTGTTGAATTGTTTTTGTATCATCTTCTTTTTGAACCTCCAACATCCTTAGTTTCATTTGGATTGTGCTGTCTCTTTTTTGAAATTCTGAGTTATGTGATGTCAAGGTTCTTATTGCAATATTTTTTTTTGCAAGTAATTCATTCCAATTTCTCTCTTCTTCTACTTTAGATTTAGAAAGTGTCTTTAGTCTTTGATGTAGATCAGCAATTTGGGCATCCTTTGATTCCTCAGATTCTTGAGGCTAATGCATTGTTGAGCCACAAATGCTATCATGATGTTGGTACATCAGCTCATTATGTTCTTCTTCATCACTTTCCTCATTGTTTGCTTTTTGCTGTTTAGATAGAGTGCCTTCATCTTCTTCTTCACTATCTTCTTCTTTCTGTTCATTTTCTTCTTTGTCTTCTACTTCTATTTTTTCACTTTCTTCTCAAGCTTCCACTTCTCCACTGCTTGCTTGATCTTCTTGTCCATTGCTGGCTTCGTGTTCTTCTATGTTGCCTTCTGCTTCTTCATTCCTTGGTTTTTCAGATGAATCTTCTAATGTCTCATTGAATCTGACAATTGCCTTTTTTTGATTCTTTCTTCTTGTTTTTACCAAGACAGAACTCCTCTGATGGGTTTTTAACTAGCTTATCGTTATCTATCTATAACAGGAGGCTTTTTTATTAGAGAAATGTTACAAAATTCATTGAGAGAAAAAATTCAAATAAGGAAAATAAAATTCATCTAAATGATACTAATGGGAAACAAACTTTAGAGAAAATTGTATGGGTCAGAGAAAATTACAGACAATGAGTTAATTTTATGAGGCAGAAAAAATTATGAAACAAGCAACATAATTTAGATATCAGAGAAAATCAATCAAGGCATATAAGTTAATGTTTTACTATAATTGTGTCAGAGAAATTTGGATTCCAGAGAAAATTCATTAGAATGATAGAAATAAACAGTGTTAATCAAAGATGCAAGGCACATAAGTTATGGGCCAGAGAAAATTACACACAAGAAGAAACAATTTTATAGGCCAGAGAAAATTATGAAACAACCAACATAAATCAGATATTAGAGAAAATCAATAAGGGCATATAAGTTAATGTGTTACAATTGTGGTCAGAGAAATTTGGATTGCAGAGAAAATTGATTACAATGGCAAAAATAAACCAGTGGTAATCAAAGAAGAAACATAAATTAATAGTTTAGAGAAAATTGATCTCAATCAATCAAGGCACAAGGAGGGAAACAAACCAGTGGTCAGAGAAATTTTGGAATTTCACTGAGATTTCAGTGGCGATAGAAATCTAACCTGTCGAGGTGCAAGAGAGTGGGCTGGTGTCTTTTGCAGCTGTTTCGTCAAGCTTTGTAGGTTCCACTTGGCACATCTTGGGAAGTCAGTTGTGTTACTGTCTTCCGAGTCAATGATATTTGCATGTTCATATAGCCAATACTGTGATAGGAATTAAGGTAATTAAATTTTGCTAAACACATAAATTTGTAAGTATGATAACTGCAAATTTGAATAGAAATTATACTTACTAGCAATGCAATGACACACTCCGTAACTTTTTCTGGAGTTTTGTGCAATGCTATGATAGAATCAATCAATGTTGATGTGATTGCTTCTGGCCAATCATACTGTTTCATTGATTCAAAAGGTTCCACATACTTTATAAAAACCCACCCTATTGAATCCCCACTTGTTGAAAAAATAGGGTGACACACAAGAACAATGTAACAATAATTGCTACATCTTTGTAGTCAGTTTGTTGCTTGCCTTTCATTGCTTTGACCAAGGCATTTTTAAGAACAGAACCACTGAGCCTTCTGTCCTTTGAGAATCTTCTCCTTAAGAATGTAGATTTTGGCTTTTTAGAGTATCTTAATGACATGGCTCATTTACCTCCTTGCAAACCGAAAATCAAGGTCATGTCATTGGTTGTAAAGGTCAAGTTCTTTTTACTAACTATGAATGCTTTTGTTTTTTCATTGCAACATCGGATTATTGCAACTACATCATCATTAGATTTCCTAGATTCCTTTGGATCCATCCTTCCAGTTGTTAGAGCTTGGATCAAATACCAAAATGGGGTCTTTTGAAGCTCTACAAGTTGATTTGAATTGAATTTAAGTGTTTGAAAAAATGAGACAACAGATGAGAGGTTGGATCGGTATTGAATGGTGTAATGAGCTCTTTTTCTTTGTAGTTTAACAGGTATTTTCCCCCTTGAGCTTGAGTCTTTTGAAGTTGGAGTACTCATCTTGATGCTAGTTGTTTCATCACCTTGGACTTGTGTGTTTTGGTAAGGAGTTTGTGGTGTTTTGCTGGTTTTTTTATCTTAGATCATAAGAAGACCGAGAGAGTTTCTGTTTCTTGCTTGGTGTTTCCGGTGTTTTGCTGCTTTTACGTTTTGTCATTTTTAGACAATGATAAAAACATAATGATGTCAACATTAAATCCTAGAGAAAATTGAACACGCCAAAGAAAATTGGACATGCCAGAGAAAATTACACATAAGGAAGAAAACTAAGGTAGCCAGGGAAAATTATAAATGTCAGACAAAATTAGACACTAAAAATTAAATGTCAGAGTACTAATTGTTTTCCTGTGGAATACATCTAGCCATAGAAAATTTTCATTCCCAGAGAAAATCAACAAAGCAACATAAACATTGCAAAGAAATTTTCAATAATTGTTAAAATTACATATAGAAGTAAAATATAGCCAGAGAAAATTGAAAAAAGAAACATATATCTAGCAAGCACAAAAAATGAATAAAAAAGAAAAGTAAACATGGCAAGCAAAAGAAAATTTTCATTCCATAATTAGCAAGATAAAATAAACAAAGCAACGTAAACATGCTACTGAAACACAACATTGAAACCAAGAATTGAACAAAATAAACATACCAGAGAAAATTACACATTCTTGAGAAAATTACCATTCTAGAGAAAATTTCAAGTCCATAATATTAAAATGCAATAAAAATTTACATACACAACCAGAGAAAATTAAACATGATAGAGACACACAAGGGAGAAAAGTGATGTAGCCAGAGAAAATTATAAATGCCAGAGAAACATAGACACAGACAAGAGAGTAATAGACATTCCAGAGAAAAATACATATTCTAGAGAAATTTACAAAGCAGAGAAATTTTTAAACAAAATCACAGATACATGTTCAAGAATAAGATCAAAACACAAAGAAATAATTTTTTTTTTTCAAAATAAACATGCCAGAGAAAATTCAAAGAAGAAACATACATTCCAATCCATAATATTAAAATGCTAGAGAAATTTACATATACAACCAGAGAAAATTAAACATGATAGAGACACACAAGGGAGGAAAGTGATGTGGTCAGAGAAAATTATAAATACCAGACAAACTTAGGCAGAGAAGAGAGTAATAGACATTCTAGAGAAAGATAGACATTCCAATTAAAAATACATATTGCAGAGAAATTTACCTAGCAGAGAAATTTATAGACAAAATCATAGAAACATGTTCAAAAATAAGATGAAAACACAGAGAAATAACTTTTTTCAAAATAAACATGCCAGAGAAAATTCAAAGAAGAAACATACATCAAGCAAAAACTAAAGAAATTCAAATGCCGGAGAAATTTATAGATAAAATCACACAAACATGTTCAAGAATAAGTTCAAAACATAGAGAAATTACTTTTTTCAAATTCATGTAGCTTTTTATTACGAAATTGAAACCCTAATTTATGGAAGGTTAATATAAAATGCAATTAACTATGTTTTCAGAGAAAATCTAGTTGTATTGTAGAAAAATTTACTAGAGTTAGGATGAAACTTTAATGACGAGCTGATATGCCCTGAAATAAAGATGCGACATAACGAAGATGAACTGAGATGACGATGAACAATGAAAACGAGGTTAGAGAAATTTGTGAGAAATGAATATGAATGATTTTTGCAGAAGATAATGAAGCTCTAATGTCGATGGTGAAGATGATATTGAAACCCTAATTCTGCTGTTCTCTTGCTCGTGAAGATGGTTGGAACTAAGTCG